CACACACACACACACACACACACACACACACACACACGCACACACACGCACACACACACACACACACACACACACACACACACACACACACACACACACACAACGTCTATGTTGTGTTTGAGTAAGCCCTGAGAAGCAGCTTGCTCAGTCACTTCCTGGGTCAGTGGTTGGTCAGAAGAGGAAAGTGAGAAAGAGAAAAACAGAGACAGAGTACCAGAGCTAGAGAGAGGATACTGGAAGCAAGGAATAAAGACTTGAAAAGAAGTAAAAGAAAAGGTTTGAGGACAATCTTTAACCAATAGTGTCTCAGTAATATGGCTGCATATTGTATATTTAAACCACAGATTCATATTAAATGCAGAAAGAATTTGATTCATTAATAGACGCAAGTATCAAAAAGTGTCTGTACTGTAGCATCAGTTGTACTTGTATGTCTATTTATGACACACCTACACCTCCTGCTAAGGCCTCCAATCCCATAACTTCTTTGAGTCATTTCTGACAATTAAGGCTGCTACCTTGCTGTTAGCTACTGCTTGCACACTTTCCCCCTTTTTCATCACACACAAACTCTCAAATGCAGACTCTTAATTTTTCACATTCCCTTTTCCTTACACCTAAAAGACCCGGTGCTGTGCTGAGCTCACTTTATAAAGAGCCCTCTCTAACTACCTCATCTATTTTCCACCAAATTAACTCTCTCTCAGCACTGATTAATGATCAAATCTAAATGAATCAAATTAAAAATTGAAAATTATATTTCCAAAGACCACAAAAAAGAGACAGGAGGAGGCTAGGGGGAGAACGAGAGTGCTCTACCTCCGCTTAACAAATGAGCCTTCAAGTCATAAAGAATGGGCTCAAGAGGAGAGGAGGGAAGGAATGAGGAGAGAAGAGGAAAGGGTCGGAGGAGAGGAAATGTAAGGAAGAGGGAAAAGAATGTGAAGAGGAAAAAGAGAAGGCAAGTAAAGAACAGATTAATTGAACAAGAAATTGGTAAGAAATGGAATAAAGATGTGATAGTGAGAGAACTGGAACGATCCATGAAAGAAAAGACAAAATCAACAGAGGTTGTGCGCCTTCATTATATGCTTTAATTAGTATGTCAACTAAAGGAACACCTCTACTCAGTCTATTGCTCCTACTTCTACACACTGAAATAAATATTAAAATGTTCCCCGCATGTTTCGTGTTACATAGTGCAAAGTCTGTGTAAACTGAATTTGATGTAATGTACTAAAAACCGACATTAGGAGCATTTCGAGCTGGCGGTGCATAGCAAACGGTGCTAATAGCACTAACAGTGCAAACTACGGCGAGAGTGCTGACAGAGCTAACAGTGTTCACCTAAGGAGGAACCAGAGGGGGGGGTGCTACGCTTCCATGGCGAAGCTGTCGGACGGCGAGCAGTAAAGAGTATTGGCCGTGAGCTAACCAGTGGGGCACGCTCACATGCACAAACATGCACTTAAAGCATGCACGACCGGCCCGGCTGTGTCAACAAAGCAAGGAAAAGCTTGGATAACAACACACATACAGGGAGATTCTACATTCTCTGCTCAGGAAGACATTACTCCACTAGAACTTTACAGAACAAATAGTGGCTTGCTGCTATATTAATATTCAGAATGTTGAATACAGCTCCTTAATAATAATAATAATAATAATAATACCTAATTCACATCGACAAATTTGGCATTACAAATTTGCACTATTTTTGTCACATGCTGTACACACACTCTCGCACACACACACACACACACACACACACACACACACACAGACACACACACACACACAGTGACAATGATGAAGGCGAATCTTTCCTTTCGTGGGAATATTGCTGTCTGTCAATAGCAAAATCTGCACTGATCACATCAGCATAGATTTTACACTGCACGTCAGCGCACACGTGTGTGTGTGTGAACAGTTGAGGGATTGCGAGTGAAATGCCTTTGACACTTAAGTGCTTTTGAAGAGAGAACCGGTATTCATGGCAAGAGAGGAAAAAGAGGAAAGACAGAAAATGGATTGATTTCAGATGGTCAATGATATGACGAGAGAACGAGAGGATGAAAGAGGGCGAGAAAAGGAGTGAGGCATAAAGTGGAGAGAGGAGAAGGAAGACAAATAAAACCATTGATTTCTGTTGATCACAGCAAAGAGGAAGCAGGATGACAAAAAGCACAAGAGGAAGGGACCATTTAAAGAGGCAGAGACAAGGAGAGGGCGAGAGTGTAGTTTTATGGCAATTGAAGTGGTAACAGGGTTGAAGTCTCTCTTCAACCTTAGACCAGGTTATCACCTTATTTGTCTGTGTGTGTGTGTATGTGTGAATGTGTGTGTGTAAAACCGCAGTGCTGGTGTAATAACATAAAGGATTTTCCTATGTGGGTTTAACAACTGATGGGCGAGTAGATTGGTTAAGACAACAGACCCATTTAAATCTAATGTGTGTGTTTGTGTGATTCCCCTGCATGTGAGGAAGAAGTAGAAATAACAGGGGGAAGAAACACACACAATGTGCGCCTATATAGCCACAGAACATGGACTATTATGTGGTGATGAATGTCAGAGGCAATATTATTCATGTTGGTGAGGCATTTTATGCTTGAATTTGAAAACAATTGACTCAAGATCGCTTCAAGAAAGAAAGAAAAATAAAGAGAGCATGAGAGAGCGGCGGAGGGGAGGTTAAGAGGAAAGTGTGTGTAGTGTCATGCAGTGACGTTTGTTTAGACCAGAACAGATCAGAACAGCTCTGCCTGAGGCAGCGGGCAGGTGGCTGTCACTGATGTGTGAATATGTGTGTGTGTGTGTGTGGGCATGTGTGTGTGAGACCATGTGAAAAATGTTGTCCACATTAATGGCCCTTTTTATGTTAGTGCTGCTTTAAAAAAATAGCCTGATACATTTACACAACTATTAGGCATTCCAAACTTCTGAGATGAAGAGCAAAATAACTCAATAGCTCAGTAATAATAAACTCTTGATTTCATATTCATTCTTTTTTTCCAATCAGAAGTCTTGTTTTTTAAAAACACGTGTGTCACATAAGAGTGTTTTTGTGGAATTTGTTTGTGTGAGTTGGATGAAAACGTTGCTGTTGTGAGCTGTCACATGCAACTGAAAACAACAGCTACATTTTGCTGAAGTCTCCTGGTAAATAAATTGCTTTTCCCAAACTGTCTTCCTTTCACATCTCCTCTACTCTCAAGACGAACAACGAAAGTGTATATGAAAGAGAGCGGACCACTTAGGCAGATCTCTCGTCACAGCATTTCCATTATCGCTCCTTTCTAGCTGGGATGCAACCAGATGCCAGTCACACACACAAAAACTCACTCAGGACAGACGCTACAGGGCCAGATTTAGATACAAGTTTCCCACGGGGGAACACCAGACGCCACTAGTTGTCTGCCGCTCCCCTCTTCTGTTTCCACGTCCTCCGCTCTTGTCTCCTCCCCTTTCCCCATCATGCGCTATCTCTTCCTCTAGTCATCCTCTTCTTTCATTCTTACCTCCCATCTTCTTGTACTCTCCTCCTGCACTATTCATTTACAAATCATCTATTGACCCACAAACATCGTCTTCTCTTTTTTTTTTTAAATCACTGGTATCTTCCAGAAATTGTGTCCTTTATTAGAAACAAATTGTCTTTGTGTGTTTTGCATGTGGACATGTCTCGGCCATTCGCCTTGATTGTGGTGTGTATGACTGCATTTGTGTGCAGCAATGAGATTGGAAAGCAGCGGTCAGGACTGTTCAGCTATGAAGAGAGTTTTGACGCACAATGTCAGCTGTAAATACACACACACACTCTCACACACACACCAATCCTCTCACAGACTGGGGCCTTCCACCCGATCTCACTCATTAGGTCTTAGAGGCCGTGGGGAGCACGGCCAAAGTTGGCATGAGCTGTTAGCGTGTGTGTGTGTGTGCGTGTGTGGGGCAGTGTGCCAAGGTTTATATTTGCAGTCCGTGGACTTGTCTCTCTAGTAGTCTACCATCTGAATCCAGCTGGCCGTTTATGGCAATATAGAGATGGAGGCTTTGGTTTTGGATTCAACACATTCTGTCTGTTTAACCATGATTCATCAGACGTGCCACCATCAAAGCTGCTACGTTGTAAGAGAGCAAATCTGTCAATATGACCATATGCACAATGTACATGCATACCGGATATTGCTGGCTCCTGGTCTGTGTGCCTCTGCCAAAGCCTTTCATGTTCAGATGTCTGATCTGTGTTTTGTATTCTGTTCATGACAATTGTAGGCATTACTGCTGAATTTGAATGCATTATGTCTGTCTTGCCTTGCCAGTTGTGTACAAATAGAAACAACTGTGACAGCTACAGCGTTATTTTATTTGTCAAGTTCATGAAATTAGATTAAATTGTAGTTTTTTAAGTAAATTAATTTGTTACAAATTGCTTTCAACCTTGTGTCACAAATGTTTTCATCAAATCTTTCACCTGCAATGATATCCCTTTTCTCTCACTCCCCCCTCCCCTCTCTCTAGGCAGATTTAAGCCCCGCCTCTGTGACCTTTCGGTCTTCAGCTGACGCATCATTATGACCTCATTAAAAATGGACAGACAGCCATTGCCAGAGGGGAAGTTCTCATAATATAGTCAGGCCTTTTAATTGCCTTGCTTCAGAAATTAGCTGCTACACATTGGTGGGTGGGTGCCCCATGTTCGTTCCTTGCTTAATTTTACCCCCTGCTCGCTTACTCCTCTCTTCAATATTCCACACAGACAGGACCGCGTGTGTGTGTGTGTGTGTGTATTCACATGATCAGGTGTGTGTTTGAGAGACCATGTAAAGAAAACACTCCATTCTGAGTTGGTTTACTGACCCTCTGGCCTCTTGTTCTCCCCATCTCTTTGCGTCACACACACACTTCCTTGCTGCCTCACTTGCTCTTCATCTCACCCTCTCTGTCTCCCAGGGCGACAAAGCTAATTTGAGGCAGATCTTGCCCTAAGGGGTAAACTACAGCATCTACACACACACACACACACACACACACACACACACACACGCATACACACTACTCCATGTCCTCCACCCCATTCCACCCCTACCACTTTATCTTCACCTTTCTCCCGTGAGCAAGCCCCTGACAACCACAGTTAGCTCTGATGCTAACTGATCTAGCCACTTACCATTATCATCTACACAATTCTGCTGCAACGAGGCATGCACCCAGAAAGGGCGGCATGGAACAAAGTGGGCAATGTTCTTAAATGTTGTGTATGCAAAGGTTTGTTGGATGAGAGTAACACAATGTTTAACCAGGCAGTATAACAATGTCTTTGTCATTCTGTACATTGATCTTTGCAAAGATGTCTGTTATTATTGGTGCAGACTAGGTCTTCTTTTACATTTTTGCAATATTTTTCTTTCTCAAATTTTGTCGGTATGGGTAGTGTTTCAGATCTACACTGTGGCATTATTATTGTTTTGTTTGAGTTTCTATATTAGAATAATAATTCAAGGGGAGGTTTGAGGAGATATTTAGTGTATCCGCAGCACGCACTAGTTCTTTAAAAAAGACTATATGTACATTAAATGTTATTAAATACCATCTCCAGCAGAATTAAGCAAAGGTGAAGGGATACATACAGCTGCTTTGTATAGTCCATGATCTGAATGTCTATGAAATGTCCCAGTTCAAAAAGAGGGAAAATAAGAAAATTTCAGAAAATGGATGCATCGATTTTCCAAACGACCCTTATTCATATGTAGAGCGGGACCTCCAGTATTAAATTCATACCCACCACAACAAATGAGGTGGCTGTGGTCTGTCATGTTGATGTATATATGTATGCCTGGGTGTGTGTGTGTGTGTGTGCACATGATATATGTGTATGAAGCAGGGAAGCTGCTGCAACAAAAGGCAGCATAGTTCTGCTCTCTTATTGGCTTAGTGGGCAAACCACATCCTTAAGAGTTCAAATCAATAGCATGTCTACCTCTCTTGTTCACTCAAAATCTCGGTAATTTTCTTTTTTTAAAGTGTTAAAAGGAAATGTTGGCTTTGCTTGGAGTTTATCGACAAGGGCAATGTTGTTTCTGTGTCCAGTAGGAGGATGCAGTCTGAGCTGAGTGAACTGTGAGACTGTTGGAGCTGCCAATAATACATGCACTTACACATGTGTGTGGGTATTTGTGGCCACACATACGCAAGACAAAACAGGGGATAAGACATGGGTTCTGTCTATGTCAGATCAGCTGGGAGAACAAATGCTACGACAGCAGCTTGTTGGGTGTGTGTGTGTGTGTGTGTGTGTGAGTGTGTGCAAAAGAAAGAGAAAGACAGAGAAACAGAGGAGAGAGAGAGAGAGAGAGAGAGAGAGAGAGAGAGAGAGAGAGAGAG